CCCCCACACACACACACACACGTATCATAAGTGAGGTCGTGTTACAAGCGATTATATACAATATACTAAAAAGAAAACACATATTATGCAAAAACTACGAGTAGAATGCGTTAAACAAGGGTACGAAACAGAACGTACGGGCTAATTGCTTATTCCTCGCTGACCGAATAGTGTCAACTCCTGATTACATTACACGTACAATGCTGGACAAACTGACCATTAGCTCATGTTTACATTTACTAGTTGGCCAACAGGACAACTTTTCTTCGGCTATTCCTCACCCACTCACCCTAATGATGTAATTGCTTATATAGGTTGTCGTAATATCCGCCGAGTTTCACGGGCTGCTTTTTTTTTACAATTTCTCCCCCCCCTCCCCTCAGCGTGCGTCGAGAGCTAGCTCAGTTGGTATCATGTTGGGCAATGGTTCGGACCGGTCATGGTTCGTATCCCTCAAGGTGCCTTCTTTAACATGATGTGTCGTTCGGGGACTCTTCAAGGGTCTCCGTCTATTTTGCTTGTTCTTGGCGGAGAGTGAAAACGATCAGGGGTCCTGGCTTTTATTATTAAATTGCCACTGTGTCGAAAAATGCTCTAAACCCACACAATAGCCACCTTCATGTAGCCTACTTTATTTCAAGCTCTTTTTGCTGTTGTTGTTGTTGTTGTTGTTGTTGTTGTTGTTGTTGTTGTTGTTGTTGTTGTTGTTGTTGTTGTTTAATGTAGATTTTTTACGCCCCTATAGACAGAATTTATATAATTTAGGAGCGGGATTCAACCATGTCTATTAAGATCAACCAACCCGGGCGGAGAGGAATACAACGTCCCAACAGAAAGACCGAGATACTCGATAAAAATTCTTCCCACGACGGGAATAAAACTCAGATCTTTTACGTCCGACGAAGAACCGCCTAACCACTGCACCACAGACGCCGGCCCTTTCAAGCGTCGCAGTCGTAACATATCGGTACTTACCCGAACTCTAACAATATCTAAAGCCGGACAGTTCTAGAGCCTAAAGTGGCGATAAGGGTCACCCTCAAGACCTTGACGCTATTGTATCGATTGGTGATCGATCTTTTGACAAGAAAAGGTTCTCTTTTTATATATGTGTCATGACGCAGTGGAATCAGGTGCTCGTCAATTTTTGGGGGCGTATCGAGTTATTGGTGTCATCTTCATGGTTTTTCATTTTCCTTGCTTTCTATGAAATAAGTATCTATTTACCTTGAATAGAAATCAAAATATTTGCGATTAAAGAATGGGGTTCCCTGGTTTCAGAAGTAAAATTAGCTAGAAAATGGCCCCCAAAGTTTGGTGATTTTCTAAAGCCTAAGAGTCCTTGAAAACTGCAAATTTACATTTTTTTGTGCCTTTAATCAACGTTTTTCTATTTTAAAAATCCACACATAAAAGTGTATTTGAATGGTCATATAAGATGTTGAGCCAAAAAACAAAAATTCGAAGAGAATTTTCCAACCGGCCGAAATAAGCCGTTTTCTCGGATTTCATTATTTTGACGAGCGCCTGATTTCAACACGATGCCTCAAATATATAAAGCTTGTTACCTGAATGATAGTATAATAGCAATAAAGGAAACCCGCGGCTGGGGAAAGCACGGGAATGATTGTAAGTGTTGTGCGTGAAGAGCGCCGTTAGATTGTCTCTGTTGTGAAAAGCTAGGTCCCTAATTATCTAAACACCTTTCACGGGCCTGAGACCTGAAAGTGGGGGAAACAAGAAAGGAGAGAGAGAACACGATCGAGTGGAGAGGACTGCGTGTGTCAGGGTAGACTCTCGAACCACGCAGTTATACGCCATGTCATTCAAACAGCGAATTCTCCGCTTTCTTCGAACGACGAACTTTTTTGTGCATTCGATACTTGAAATAGTCGCTGGCTACCCCAGATTTCGGGGGTTTCCAAAATTCTTGACCTACAACAAGAGTGGGCATAGCCCTTCCTATAGGAGAAGTTTGGTTTCATTGGTTGAGTATATTTGTTTGGTTATGAAGAAAACTCGCCTTATCTTTTAATTAAACTGAAAAGGGGGCAAAAACTTTATACCTTCGATTTTCTCAAAACAGCATTTTCCGGATAGCCCCCTTGTGCTTCAAAGCGAACAAACGTAGATCTGCATGAATAGACTGCGCTTGGCAGAAAACCGAGACTTTGCCTTAAATCAAAGTTCCTATACAACAAAATAACTTCACCCGACGAATGTCTGTGAACAAGTCTCTAAAAATACAGATTAGATTTTACCCCGTTTTACCCGGTTGTTAACGTCCATGCACAATTTCAATCTCAACATATTATTATTACGCAGTTTCATTGCCTAAGCAAGTGTCAAACTAGCAATCAATCAGATAATATTAACTTGATGTGGCGAATCCCTTGTGTACAATACTACACTCTACGGCCTGGTAAATGCAAATGATTATATTGATATTAAGCGTAAACTTAAAATGATTCTTGATTTGAATGGGTATCGAGTTGAATTACGTATGATGTCGCCGTTCGAAGGATTTATTTAAAAATCGAAGATCATGGGAAATTGAGCAATAGATTCGTCGGTGTTCCCCTGTGTATCACTAGCTCCAAAGCCCCAAGCCCCGGCAATTCCCTGTCAAAACAGTCATCGCTCATAATCCTATTTCCCCCGCTGCTTTTGGACTGCGCTCGCTCGCAGCGCCCTTTAAGTCTCCGAGGCGTTCCAGACAGCATTGTCCTCAACACAACTGCCACCTTTCTCTCTCTCTCTCTCTCTCTCTCTCTCTCTCTC